ACCGGATGCCCTGACGCGGCCTGTAGTGTTCGAGTATAGAGCACGTAAGATGTTTAGATATTTCGTGGGAACACCTCTACGCGCAACTTATTCGATCAGCATGCACCAATCGACTGAATCGAACGCACTCGTGTAGTCAGGGAATAGAGCTATCCGCAGCTAACAAAGAGGTTGTGATGATCACATAGTTGCAGGAATAGATGGCTATTATCTGTACGGCTTTTGTTGATCCCTAACCGGCCTCTCAGGAGTTGTTCAGACTCCGAAAGACGACTCATTTGAGCAGTCATTTCACCACCAGCAATTACGAAGCCAGTCATTCGGATAAGAGATGAAAGCTGACAATGGAAATCGCCTTTGATCCCTTCCGAGCTGCAGTCATTTGAGGCATAAGTCGAATCGATAAAACGGTGCTCAGTCTCCGGATGGTACTTATTAACCCAATAGAGATCCGAATTCAAACTGCGTACGTCTAGTTGCTCACTGATGTGCAGTCGAGCAGGGTGCCTTCAGCATGTGTGCTGTGGGCGAAAACGACACCACCAATACCCTGAGTCACTTCCTCTGCATCACCAGAGACACGAATGAGTGTCATTATCGGCAGATTCGGAACCATGGAGTCAACGATACATTACTTTACTGTTATTTTGTATGCGTGCTTCGCGGATATATAGGCCGGCAGTGGAAAGAATTACGCAGCTGCGTCGTAATCTGGAGATCACCGCTTCTAATCCATATAGGTGCGGCTGACTTCACGGTATGCCCAGCCCAAGCGCGATTGTCGGTGGTCGCGTGGAAGTAAAGTGTCGGAGTGGTGTACCGACGTACTGCGCATGTCACTTTCTTTCGAAGACACAGCACACATCAATGCCAAGTGTGAAGTTTGTGAGTTGACGCTGTCTGCTAACCGCGAACTGACCTGAATTCAGGACAGTGAACGGGCAACTTGGAAATGAGAATTGGTTTGAAAAACCAGTTACTATATCGATTTCACCAGTTGCTTATTTAGCGGCATTCTGATCCACATGATAACATTGTTCCCACTACACTGTCTTACATCATATCTTTGATTACCAACTGGTAACGTACTTACTTCTAACGTTTAAAATCCACATTAGTCTTGCTGGTGATTTCTAAGAGTTGCACTAAAGGGTTCTGAATCTACGCATAACTCTAGATCTCCGGACATTATAATAACTTGTATTTTGCCTCACTTCTAGGCTCCTAGTCGATAAAATCACACGTATGGTTAACTCATTTATTGGTACCAGTGTGCACTGTTCAAACTTCCGTATTACTTCGTCGAACACGTTAGGATAGCAGTTGATGAAATCTGTATGTTGTTGACATGAATTTACAAAGGGCTCACAGTTAAGGGATGCGGAGTCAAGTTGCTGAATGGCTTCGAGGCCCAGGATAGGTACAGGATCTTCCATCATCACCATAAAGACAATCTGATGACTCGCTCTATCCTTCGTTTAACTGGCGCCTAGTATAACCTTGTCCTCCGGTTGTAGTTTCCATCCGTTCTACATTTTATGACAATGTTGCGTTACGTCGTAATGCATGTTAGCGCAGTGTTTCTCTGGTAGGATGTTAACCCTAGAACCTATGTCTAGGTGAAAAAGCACCAACTGCTTTTGAACAACCAGTGTCCACAATCACTACTTTTATCACCTGCGGCTTCATGTTGTTGATGACTAGTTCCTAGGTGGTTGCGGTGTTATCACGGCCATCTGAATTCAACTTCTTCAATCGGCAGTATCGCACGTGCACTTCCTGCATGTTTATCCACTAGCTGGGCAACTCCGTTTGGCGGATTGTGGCGCGGTCGCAGCAAGGGCAGCTTCATTCACTTGTAGGAACAGGCTGGGACACCGGGTGTTCGGCCCGAGACGCTGCACCTGATTCCACCAGCGTCAGAATTCCTCTAGCAAAGCTAAAATCTCAGCAATGTTTCACTGTTCCAAATATCGATGAATCAGTCCAACATTAGCTCTCCTCGTTACAGCGGTCTTCGGGTTGTGTTTTCCTCTTGGATGTTAAGAGTGGTGTGAGCTCTTATCAGTAAACCGACTCAACAGGGATCAGGTTTCAGACAAACGATGAACGCCGTTGGCAGGTTTTATTTGTCCTACCTGACATGGCTCACCGGACTTTGTATAACTACGCAGATATCAAGCTCTTGCTGTTCACTGTCAAGTTTGATTCTCGTCTTTACTCATTTTGCCGTGTGACCAACAACGTATCAGAAAATTGCCAAATGGTACTCTACCGGTCGGTTATTCAACTTTCAGTATGGCGAAATCCGTTGATTTCCTTTTTCACTATTTCCAGTTTTCTGGTAGCGAATTCTCATCATTCACAATGGAACCGGTGGTACGATCGACTACTGTCAACCGAAACCAGGCTGTTGTTTGCTTACCTGCGTTTTTTCCTTTATCAGCATGTCCGGTAGCCCTTCGGAATACATAAATCTAGGTAGGCCTCCATCAAAAAGACGTATTGGCTTGAAATCGGCATCAAATTTAAGTGATTCCTCAGTCGCAGTTATTTTTTTCATGAGTTGTCTCAGACTGGAATCAGTACAGCACGCGCTCTATCCACAGGCGAGCGATTGCGCAGCCATGAGTTTATCGATGTCAGGCGAACGCGAAGTTCCTGTGGTCGAACTCGTTTGCTTCTGAGCTGTAACTCAACTGGGCGTTGTAGTTTCTTAGCTATCAGTACACTACCATATTGAATAGGAACTGAAAATGGAGCAACTGACAACCCTTGCATTTCATGATGTACTCAAGGACGAGCTATTGTTTTGCCAAGAAATCGCGCCAAAAGGGTTTCAGGATAGAGAGGAATTTCTCTCGCGCACGTTCCAAAGATGGACTGCCCCACAAACATGCAGGATAACTAAAGCAAAGGCAGTTTTAGCACGTGTAAAGTGGTTGTGGTGAGCCACACCGTCCCAGTACCTGATGATGTATTCTGCACCTAAACTGAAATTCGCCTGGCTTCCACCTTTTTGGCTCTCAAGTAGTTTAGAGGCAATGACATTATGTTACGATCGGGAAGTCTATTCAAAGCGTCCATCAACCTCTTACGAATAGTGATGTATTGGGAGATAGGATTCTCGGATTAGATGAAATATGTGGTTAAAATAATCTCAAGTAACTTTTGGCATTTGATGCTAATGTTTCGGTGGTTTCGTTTCATTGCCCAGAGTACCATATGACCGCTTTCGCGCAGCTACCGTCCTTATGTTCTAGTACTGGTCTTTATTGCGTATACCAGTGTTGTCTTGGTGAAGTATAGCTTGTCTTGGAATTATTCCCGACACCGTGGCCCTATGCGCTTCAAATGTGATCTGTGATCAGAGGCCGTCTGTCACCTCGCGTGATGGCTTCACTTGATTGTGCTACAGTTTAGTAATTACAACAAGGGCAACAATCTATCCGCCATCTTCTTTGTGTGACCATCCAAACCATCTTTACATACCTTTATTATGTCTTTTTTGTGTCAGTGCATAAAAAGCCTAGTTGATTATTTGAAAAGCACGGTAAGAAGACAGAAACTGGTAGATGCATGCATTTCGTATTATCCCCTTAGTACCATTAATACTAACCGGTATGCAACTATATACTTATATGTGTGTGTGACCGAATAAGCATGAGGTGCAAAATGAATGACGGAAGTTCCACCCCTATGTCCACAGCAGTCTTAAGCTGATAAATAATAGCTTTTGAACGCACAGGGCCGGCTTCATCCGGCTTATCGCAACTGCCTCGGCGAAACGGAGGAAGCGGGGATTAAGGTGACGTACTGCAAGTGTGAACGCTGATCCAAGCTCTATCCGATGGCGCGTAGTCAGTAGGTGTTTACCTATTGAGGAAGCTGGTGGCTTGCGCAAGCACGGAACTTCAGTGGGACAGGGATGCTGGTCAATTTCACGTTGAGCCCATCTTGGCACGCCTTTCTTTATTCGGGAAGTCAAAGAGTGATTGGTTCTGCCTATGTATCTGTCTCCGCAGTCGCACACGAATTTGTATATGCAGTGTGAGTTGGCCCCTATCGGTTGAGCTTCCTTAGTTAGAGGCACCAGCACGTTACGGGTTCTATTGATGACCACAACCTGAGAGATTAACCGTTTCGTGGTTTTCAAGACAGTAAAGTCACCCTTGAAAGGCAACGCGATATAGATCTTTTTCTTGGCTGTCGTATGCACCAAGTCTTTCGGGCCTCGCTGTTGGCTGTGTTTCTCTATAAATCTACGTGAATAATCATTTACAACGCGTGTTGTTGTACTTAATACTAGCTCGTCGGCTAGACAATCAGCCGAGCAAATTCGTTTAGCACGACTAATTAAAGTTTTCACAGGGGTCCGCTTGTACCGCACTGGTGTGAAGCTGGTGAAGTGCAGGTATTGGCCGGACCAGGTTGCTTTTCTGTAGGTAGACCTTTTAATGAGCCCGTCATCCATGCGACTGATGACGATGTCTAAGAATGGCAGACCGTTCTTCTGTTCCACTTCGCAGGTGACCCGCAAGTTGGTATGTGCACAGTTGAGTTGCTGCACAAACTGGACAGTCTGCTGCTCCGATGAACAAAAGGCCAATATGTCAGTCACATAACGCTTATAGTATGGTAACTGGGCTATTTCTGTGGATATGCCTCTTTCTATCATCAGCATGAAGAAATCGGTAAGTACAGAGCCTAGTGGGCTACCCATTGCCACACCATCGATTTGACGATATGGGGTGTTCTGAAAGTGGGAGCCAACATTTGCTGTATACAGAAGTAAGGATTCTTTTAGAAATTCGATGAATTGGTAATGAATAACTAGATTGCTCAGCTAGCTCGCATATATAATCAACAGTTTGTTGTAGTGGGACGTTTGATTATGTCGTGTTTTAGTCTAGTTGCTACACTTTGACAGCATAATTTTCAGTAACAGCTCGGTGGCATCATTCTTTGACTGTTTGTCCCCACCTATCTTTCACATTCAGGCCTACAGAAACGACCGCAGTAGTGAGCGATCAACACTCAAGACGCCTGTCACGCCGGCATACGCTCCATCACCGTCGACACCTGGCCGGCTCGAACGGACTAGATACCCCGGTGGTTTTCCTTCCCCATCATCTGACTTGGTCAGAGAAACCCATAAGCAGAGTACTCAAACGACCCGTGAACATTGGTCTCAAGGTAATCGGGATCGCTGCACAATCTCTTCCTCCTCACCAGATAGGTCGAGAAGTAACTTGGATACTCCATACTTGGTAAAACTTACCGGTAGACCTGAATTCCGCACGTCACAGATCACTACAGCACCTGTGGAGCGACCCACCTTGATTCATGTCGTTTCCCCCAGGGCAATTCGCCGGCTTCCTATCCCTGACCTGCCCCAATCGACCTTCAACGTCACTCATTTACCTGGATCATGTGTGAGGGGCTTCAGTGGCTCTACCGTCAGAATCACACGAGAAGTTCACTCTGGAACATCTCCATCACCTTACTGGTAAGAAGTAATTTCGGTAGTTCATATCTCGCTGTATTTATTGTTTTCCAAGCACTTGGAAGAAGTACACTCAATATGGCGCCTAAAAATGAACGAATTGAATCGTACCACATTGCTTCTGTCACAGGGGATCATAATTTTGCTTTCCTTACCCATTTGAATTGTGAGAAGTTGTGTCAAATTCACATATCCTTACCTCAACGTAGACTCCTTCGTCTTAAATTGGTTCTGCGCAAGTTAATCTGGTTATGTATACCATCGCTACCATCGATTCGAAAGTGAAGTTAGGCTGGTTGAATTTAAAGTTAAACCGGTATCTTTCTTGTGGTACCGAGAAACTGTGTCCACAAATGGAAGAATCATACTTACCTTGCACGACAAGCCCACGTGTGCTAAACTATTGATAGTTGTAGTTTATGCAGGGACTCAATGGGGACATTTTGGTGAAAACATTCCTCTGGAGCTTTCATTGTCATTTTCCATCTGTCCAGGAGCATTCGCACTTGTTACAGTGTATGTAGCGAGTACCGTAATGACAGCGGGTTTATGAAAGGGGAACACACAAGTAGCCTTCACTCAAAGTCACGCATTAATACACTATCGTCCACGAAGACCAGCATTAAAGAAGACTAAAGGAGTACAGGACAAGTTAGTTGTGAACAGTAAAGGCCATGTACTTGGAGCAATTGGGCTAGAATGATAAAAATAGAACGAAAGCGTGGATTGAAACATCCATATAGTTTTTTATAAGTTTTCAAAGTTTCAGCTGCTTTATCCACGTAAGCTGATGCAACATGCACAGAGGCTGTGGAAATTTAAAGCGTAGTAAAATGCTCAATTTTTCCTTAAACTCAAAATTTGATTAGTATGGTCGAGCGAGAGGTATTATATGTTACGGAGTGGATGGAAGGCTACGTGGGCTCAGTGGCTTTTGTTTCAGCCTACACTACCAGATGAAGATTTTTGATTCACATAGCTGCGTAGTAGCAAATGCAATGTAGACATGGGAGTGGTAAAGCGTTTGGGTTAACTTCTCCTTTCGGAAAACACTTGAGGGTGCAAATTGTCAGGCTGACATGGACCAGCGAAATATCAAATGTGAGTGCGAGGCATGATACATAGGGTTTGTATCTCATTCTAGCCTTCACTTGTAGGTGAGGCTGTAAGGTGGGCATAGTCAAGTAACTAAAATGGTAGTGCTAGGGTAAGATGATCAATGGAACAATGGTGTCGCACGGGTAAAAAGAAACCAAGGCTTGGCAAATCTTGTGGAGTGGTTTGTATGAAGTACGTAAGTTCAAAAAAGAAGTTACATTAATGTGGAACGCGCATTTGTGGACTCACCATATTATCCACGTAAACATAATAGTATGTCTGCCATAATTATGTGGGAGTTGGTGAGCACAATGTTTTCCTGCACCTTGTCTTCATTCAATGGACAGAAATTAAATCAAGTAATGCAGATGATGTAATGCATCGTCGAGTCATTTTTTGAAAACGAGTAGCGTGAGCGCAGAGGTGAAAAGGTCGAACGAGCGTCCCACGGTTGACAAATTCGAAGGGAAAAATACTCCCGGTGGCATTCCAACTGACTGTATTGGGTGACCAATTCCAGCTGATGACCTCTCAACTTTATGTTGTGACGAAGTTTCAGAAGTTGGTAGCAAGCGTGATCGGGGTTTTTCAAGATTTGGTACTCCAACATGTGGTCTCTCCGTAGACGGCACTATCTTCCGTTGTGCACTTCCAGGGCTTTCAGTCGCAGAGGGTATAACAGGCGGAATAATCCCTTCACATTTTTCGTTGCCTCTCGCTGTGCGGTCTCCAGTGCAACCAGATTAGATTTAAATCAGGGTTGGCAGGCCTGGATCGCGTACTTCACACGGGGCCTCACATACGCATTAAGCATTTGGGGGAAAATGGAGGGATCCAGCCTCCCGAACACCCTCCCTAATAGACCGACATGTCGGTTTGCAGTTTTGGAAACCTCCAAGGTCTGCGCCGAACAGACGGGGTCGCCTTACATCACCACCAAAAGGTCCCGCTCCTGAGGCGATTTCAAACATGTAGTGTTCAAGCTTATATACGTGGATTTGTGACGTACATGCATAGTTTTGCACTTGTTTGCGTTAAACGGGTAGCTTTTTTAATTCGCAAATAATACCCATAGACTATATAGTCAAAAATAAGACAAGTACAGTTATAAGCATGCCAAAAATGACGCGATAAGCCGGTGAAGGCCGGACTGAGAATGGGTGACTGGGGAGCATTTGAACGACGGTGCCACCTTCGATCGATATTCCTGTCGAACAACTGAAAACAAGCGTTACAGCAGCCACTGGTGCGAAGAAAATCGCGCTTGACCGCCGCCATTGTCCGACGCTGAGGAGTTGGTACGTGGCCATCAAAATCTTTCTTACGATTCAATGGAAGGGGGTCACGAGGTGTTTTGCGCAATGGTCAAGCGTTTGATATGTGGGTAATTGGCCCGACGTAGTTTTAAAGGTAGAGCCAATGTAACATCCAATTTTCACTACGCAAAGTCGCACATCATTTGTTTCGAACTACCTACATAGTCTTCCTACAGGAGGCATTCTATTGGGCTGAGAGACAGTAGGTACGAGGGGTGCACAAAAACAAACCGAACTTTGGCTATAACGTCTTTATTGCTCAGTGCACATTTCAAACACTTCCTCTCACAAAGTAATCCCCTCTACTAGCAATACACTGTTCTCAACGGTGCTTCCATTTTCGGAAAGTCTCCTGGAACTTACTTTCTGTGATAGTGCGCAGGTCTCTTGTCGCATTGTCCTGAATCTCCTCCATGGTTTGCAAACGACGTCTTTTCAACGTGCTTTTAAGTTTGGGAAACAGGGAAAAGTTGGCAGGGGCTAGTTACGGCGAATACGGTGGGTGGTGCACAACGTGAGTGTGATGTTTTGCTAGATAGTTGCAGACAGGAAGCGATGCGTGAGCCGGCGCATTATCATGATGCAAGATCCAAGTCTGATTTTCCCACAGTTCAGGCCCCTTCTTGCGCTTGGCATCCCTCAATCGCGCTAGAATTTGATGACGGCATCCTACGCTGACGACGACGATTTCCACAGATCACAGCACAAACTCTCTTGATATGCTCATCGTCTGTTGATGTGCATTGTCGTCTAGGCTTGAGATCGTCACCGACCGACATTCTGCGGTGTTCAAAACACTTAAACCACTGCGTGCGACTCATACATTCCTCCCCGTATGCTTGGCTAAGCAATGGAAATATCTCTGTAAAAGTTTTGCCAAGTTTGTAGCAAAATTTCACGAGCACACACATTGTTCTTCAAGCCCTTTCATTGCCTCTTTTTGGCACTAATCCAACGCATAGCCTGTGCAGGTGCTTAGTTCAGCGGTTGTAGCTCGCCAATAACATGCAGAGCGAACTGCGGCAAATGGCAGTTTGTTGTCTAAACAATCTTCCATATGCACTCAGTAGCCGCAGCGCGCTCCTTCTGCTGGTTGGCGTGCTATTTCAAAAGTTCGGTTTCTTTTTGAAAACCCCTGTACATCACTAGCTGGTTCCGATATGACAACATTGTGTACGTAGAACAACGGTTACCGCCGCCTTCCCTATATCTTGACGGCCGTTAGCCAACTGCTATTTCTGTGTCACAATCAAGCTTCGACGAAAGAGCCCGGCATTTACCAAACGCAGAATGGCTTAAAGGCAGTATAGGGTGTTCCTCAACTTCCACTTTATCACGGTATCTGGAACTCATCCACGTCAAATTATACGACTATCACCGTTTCTATCAAAACTTCTTGGCTACTGGTGAACACGATACTGGCCAGAAGTTACTGTTAGCCTAAATATGACATTCCATCCTAAAGAGACTTCCTTAATCACAGTTACAGATGGAAGCCAACAATCCTTGGACTGAAACTATCATTTCCATTCAGTGCTTATTCTTATGCATAGCCCAAAGACCCTTTCCGCTATTACTTCTATCACACTTCGTGAGCATTCAAATGCACGTCCATTTGGCAATGGCAATTTTGTCAGCTAAAGTTACCGGTACAAATCACTCCAATGGGCCCGAGTAGGCTTAATGATGCTCATCTTTCGATCATGCTGCACCATTGTTGAATTTAAAATAGGGATCCATGTTTCCACCTTTCGCTCCTATTCCTCACAACTTTGACCGAGGATATTCCTATCACATGCCTGCGCTCCTCCGGCCCAGTCGACCCACTTGTCCGGTACAGTGGTAGTGACCAGTAAAGGATTAGGTTTATTGCTTAGTCGTATCGAACATACCTTTACATATATCCACACATGAAGACTATATATTGCGGCTGCTAAGCGGTACGAGATTCGTATTCAGTCAGCATGATTTTCCGCCCGACTGGTGTCACCGCAGACTCACGATGAAAGCCAACCTTCTCACTATTGCGCTTGCCAGATACTATTTTGACCTAATCTAATAGAGAGGTAAGCGGAGCCAATGTCTAAATACGAGGTTGCGCGCGGGCTTACCGCGGAGCAGGTGAGCTGCCTGCTGCATGTGAAGCTCATCAGCACTGGTGTGGAACACGACCTTCGTCTGTTCCGCCAAATATGGGAATCGGGTGCGAGTTGATTGGCCATCAAATACAAGCCCGCGTCGAAGGAGGCGAGCCATTCTGCCAAATATGGAAAACCCGTGGGACAGAATTCACTCCCATTGGCTGAGAACTAGACGCAGAAGAGTGGGTGGCCTGTGCTTCCAAAATTAGTACGTTTCATCCACCAATAAATAGAGTTGACTTATGCAGTAGAATATACCGTGTTTACCGAGCCTTGGTCTTTTGCATCCTTACGGGTGGCTGGGCGCGTGGCTGAGCAGACAGACAGTCACAGTCTCACGGGTGAAGCAACACAGCAGTACAGCAATGGCGATGGGAGTCAGAAGAACCCAAAGGTGTCAGTCAGTTTTGAACAATTGCTGGCTAGTTTGCAGCAACAGCAAGCGCAG